ATTATCTTCTGTGTCTGTGTTAATTGGTTTCCCTTTTCTTTGTTGAAGAGGGTCTGTGCAATCCTTCTGCCTAGTCCGCCATCTTGCCCTACCATCTTCCCCTTACACAGATCACACACAGCCAATTCAACCAATACTACAATGTAAAGGCTCAGAAAAAGAACTCTAATTCAGAGCTAAAACTATACAGTAATTTATGAACATTTACTACAAAGACAAGCAGCTCCGAATAGCTCTAACATCCTTGAGGATATCGCTATATTTGAAAATAGTATAATCTTTTTTCTAATGTTAACCTGGACTCATTAAGAAAAACTCACTCATGATACAGTGTTTAGAAACAACATAACCATACAATCCCCCACATAAACCAGAATCTGGTTAGATGAAATTATTTTGGGGCTTATAGGGATAAGCTTCAGTATTCTAAGAAATTAATTTAGTTGGTTATATTGTTTATCTTAAGCAACCGAGATTCAAGTAAATTGGATAGATGAAGTATGCCAGTAGAAGAGATTGCCTCTGCTTTCAAGGAAAGAAAAGCAGACATGAGGAAGCAAAGAAAGCCACTGCGATGTGATCTCTGTACGATGACAGATACGAAAGTTTCTAAGAGGAACACACATCAGCTTGTTGGTTTGAATTTTTTCTACCCACCCTCTCCTTACCTGGATGCCTAAAAAAACTCAAATGCAAAGACTTCTGATGCTCCAAACTGTATAGTCTCCAAACATGGTAATGGGGCCTTCAGCCAAAGTCCCGCCTTAGTGCTAAATATTCATAAGCACCTACATAGGCCTTTCTGAAACAGCCACCTTTCTGCACTTGGAGGTTGTCTACAAAGTTGGGACCTTTCTAGGGACCATGTGTCTGATCCAGTGTCAAGACCACCTCTCCATTCATATTTTTAATAGAAACAATTCTGAAAAGCAGGAGCTCTGAGAGAACAAATTGCCTCGGATGGTTAACTATGTAGGTGGGAGTAATTAATGCTAGTGATGGAAATCAAGTGCTAGAAGTATCCTTTCCAAATCTATTCCATGCACCAAGAAGGAAAACAGCAGCAGAGTGGCCTCCAGCAGCACAGCAAACCCCTTTTAAGTATTTACAACAAGGGAGACTCTGTACAAAAGGCTCACTCAGTGAGAGCAAGCCTGATCAGACAGCCCTAAGAGTTCCAAGCCCCTGACCCAGCAAAGGAGCACTTTTGGGGCAAGTCCTCTAATCTTCCTGCTGTTTTAATAAAGACTCACAAAATCTCAGGACTGGAAATTATGACTTGGGCAGAGCACCGTAACAGCTTTGCAATTAAGGCAGTATTTCTCAAACTCTCCTATTAGAAGAGAACTTATACCCACAAGGAGTTTGGAATGTATCCTTAAATTGTTTGCTGTAAATAGGAAATTTCTTTAGAGCATCATGTTTTATCTGAATAATTCTTGAGACATTTGTATTTTATTCCATAATATACCAGTAATACATCAACAAAAACCGCTGCTGTTGAGTCTATTCCAACTTACAAGAACCCTGCAGGACAGAGTACAATTGCCCCATAGGGTTTCCAAGGCTGAAAATCTTTACAGAAGCAGACTGCCTCCTTTTTCTCCCGTGGAGTGGCTAGTAGGCTCAAACTGTCAACCTTTTGGTTAGCAGCTGAGTGCTTTAGTCACTGCACTGCCAACCAAAACAACCAAACCCACTGTCACTGAGTTGATTCCAACTCATGGAGATGCTATACCACCAGGGTTCCTAAGTACACCAATAATCCAATTACCACCACAACCCCTGTCCATATCTGGATAAAATCAGTATTTCAGAAAGATGAACCCACGTTTATCTTATGGCATCATACTTCAATTTGAAAAATAGGGACCTAAAGAAATGTTACAAAATCAGTTAATCTGAAATCTCAAGAAATCATAAGAGATAAGGCTTGGGCATTTCTTGCTATATCCTAAATTGGTTATAAAAACTGACATAAACTATAATAGAAAATGTTCAAGCCAGTTTGCTCAGAAGTCCAAGAGATTGTTTAGTCTCCAAACAGTGTGCTGTGATGGTGATGGAAGTGAGAATAGTGAAACCAGGGACAGAGGTTAAGATGTATACGCAATTGGTTTCCAAGTTTCAAGAAAAGAAGTATACAGTTTAGAGAGAAAAAGATTAAAAAACAAGCATGAGACTTACTTTAAAATCTGCTAATTGCTGGTTGATGACATCCACTTCTGTCCCTACTATCCACTGGAGGGCCTCTCCCTCCTCAGCTGCTGTGGTCATGTCATTGAGTACTTTCAATTTTCTATAGAAGTCCTCTACTCGACCCAAGGTCAGCTCGAGCTGTTCCTGACGAGCTTTTCCCCTCTCTGTCAGTTTACCACACTGTTTGCTCAGGGCTTCTAGCTCCCTCTTGAGACCTAACAAGTCCAGAGTTCCCTCTTCTTCCAGCATTTGTCGGCACTCAGCTTCAGAGGCCTCTATATCTAACTTGAGAACTTGGATTTTGTTAAGGAACAGCCGAACATCCTCAATTTGGGATTGGAGGCTATCAGTGTCTCTCCCGATAGCACCCATGCCATCAAGCTCATCGTCCAGGTCTGCCAACTGAGAAAACATCTCTCGGACTCGGCAGTGAAACTGGCCAATCCCCTCCAACTTATTCTCCATCATCATGCAACCAATGTTCACTCTTTGCTTCACTTCTAGGAACTCTTGCTGAGTGACCTCGGCTTGATGTAGAAGTTGGGAAGCATCAGATCCATCTGGAGCATCTTCTACCAGGCCCTGAGTGAAGTTCCTCAGATAGTCCACCTGAGGCTCCAGGGCCTGTAGCACTTCCTGTTGAGCTCTTAGCTTTTCCAGATTCTTGTTGCTACAGGCTTGAGAGCCTAAAGCATCAAAGATCTCAAGTTGGTGTTTGGCCCCTTCAACCTTCTTTTCAATATTCTTAAAGCTTTCTTGGAACTCCTTCAGCCTCTGAGTCATTTCTTCAAGCAACCCTGTTTTGGCCTGTAGTTCTTCTGTAATAGTATCCATGTTCTGGTTAATTCTAGCTTTCTCATCCCGGATATCATCCTCATCTGTTTCAGAAGAATTGATAAGGATGTCAGCAGCACTATTCAGTATTTCCAGCAGGGAGCGGCGCTTTTCCACCTCATTCAGCATAGCCTTTGATCTTAGCAGACTGGACTCTAGCTGCACTGGATCCAGAGTGACCCGCAGGTCAGACATCTTGGCTTTACAGTCCTCTATCCATGGCACGATGTTTTCCACATGCCACTGATATTTCTGAGCTTTCTGCAAACAATCCTTGAGCCTGGATTGTCTGTCTGCAGTTTTTTTACTAAGCTCTTCCCAATGGTTTTTGAGCTCAATCAACTGGTTTTGTAAAGTCCTTTTCTCTTCTCCAGGAGGCACAGAAAGAAGCAGAGATTCTCCTTCAGCAACAATCACCTCATAGGAACCACTGTGCTGGTTAAGGCTCTTTTGAAACTCTTCATTCTCCTGAAGCTGAGACTGTAACTGTTCCAATTTTGCAGAAACTGGGCAGTGTTTTGCTTGCTGGCTTTGTTTGTCATCCAACCAGGTCTTTAGCTCATCAAACATTTGCTGGAACTGCTGAGTGCTGGCAAGAGCTGCCTGGAGTCTGTTCATGCGATCGGCTGAAATGAGAAAATGAAATTTAAATCAGCCAAGCCTGAACACAGCATAAGGTCTTATCTTAGGGGAAGAAAACTAACATTAATTGCAGGCCTATTAGAAAAGTGGCACATAGCTAGGTTCCTTCATGTATGGTATCTTACTTAATTTAATACTCACAGCAACCTCATAAGGTAGTTTGAGAAACAGAGTAAACTTTTACTTCTAAACTGGTAAACAGTTAAGAAGTCATAAATGTTTCCAGAGAAACAGGCAATGAATTAATGATAAAAAATTTTTGCTCTTGTACAAGGCCATCATAAGAAGTCCAGAACATGTTCTAACTTTGGATAGATAGTGTGTGTGGATGTTTGTGTATGTGGGCATATATGTATGAATATAAAGAAAGTAAGTAGGCATCAGTGAAAATAGGTATGTAATTCTACTTTTAAGTACATTTATAAGCATGACTCTCTAACTGCTGGCTGAATTCATATTTGAGCTCCTAATGCTAGGATTATGCTGTGTAAAGTTTCACATCTTGCTGGTGCTCAATCAATGTGTAATAACCACCACAGCTCCCACTGTAGTGGAAAAAGGGTTATGTTAGCACTATTCTGAGCCCAAAAGCTACAAAAGAATCACCCTAGATTCTTTTTGTTGTTGTTGTTAAGAATATACACAGCAAAGCATGCAGCAATTTAACCATTTCTATATATACATTTCAGTGACATCTGATAACATTCTTCAAGCTGTGCAACCATTTTCACTTTCCTTTTCTGAGTCTTTTCTTCCCCATTAATATAAGCTCACTGCCCCCTTAGTTTCCTATCAGATCTTCTGAGTTGCTGTTGTCACTTTGATCCTACATAGTTCTTAAGAGCATAATGCTCAAGACAGACAATTTTTAACAGTTAAGCCAGACTATTGTTTGGTTTTAAGAAGACTTCAAGGGAAATCTTTTGTTAAAGGTTTAAAGATTAACTCAGCTCAAGAGTTTCATGAGTTCATCAACCCTTCATGGCTCCAGAAAGTCCACAAGAATTTGAAATTCTGTTCTGCATTTTCCCCTTTTGATCAGGATTCTTCTATACAATCTTTTATCAAAATGTTTAGTAATTCACCCTAGATTTTTGAAACTGCCACTAACCCACTCCTTCTTTCTGCTTGCCATCAATAATGGCAGAAATGTATTCCTCACCCCAGCTCACCTGCAAGATCTTCTAAACCTTGGAGAGGCAGAGCAACAGTTTCCAAACGCTTCTTCAGCTCATCCTTGAGGTACTGCTCACCAATGAGCATTGAGAGTTCATTGCACAGTGTCTGGGCTTCCTTAATCTCATCGTCTAATTGCTCCAAGTTAGATCTAATCTCACTGGTCTCCTCCAACTGCTGTTTTACAGCCTCAGGTTGGGTGCTGATGGTTGACTGGCCACTCAGCCGCTGTCCAACTGCCTTCACCTTCTCTGATAAGTCCTGGAGCAATTCCTGGTACTGAGTGCTTTTGACAATAGCTTGGTCAATTTGGCTGGAACGGGAATTAAGCTTGTCTGTCAGCTCAACCCACTTCTGATTGATGCTCTGGAGTTCCTGCTGTACTTGGCTCGTGGATGGAGACACATCTCCAGGGCCTGTTATGATGCCCTGAGCTGCCTCATTCAGCTGCTCATGCTGTTGCCTGCGTGCTTCAAATTCCTTCAGCATAAACTGAAACAGAAGCAACAGCAAGATGTTTAGAAAGAAAAGCAAACCTAAATACAGTGTCAAAACAAAAATTGATTGTGGATTACACTAAATATTGCCAAACCATTTTGAAAATAAACCAGAAAACTCAAGGAACCAAGCTATAGGCCAAGACAGTATCACTTAACAAATGCTTAATACAAACCAGTTTTGAATGGATCACTGATTGTGCCTATTTTATTTCTTTTCCTTATTTGCCCTACTCTGTTCTAGTATCAGTTATTAAGGGTGGTGTACGTTGGTAAAAGGACCTCTGATGATGCCATGGATAAAGTATTCGGCTACTGCTGATGCTGTGGATAAAGTATTCGGCTGCTAACTGAAAGGTCAGTGGTTCAAACCCACTAGTCACTCCATAGGAGAAGGATGAAGCAGTCTGCTTCCATGATGATTTATAGCCTTGATAAGGAACAAGGCTGTAGTCACTTCTTGGACATAGCCAGCTACCCAGAGGGAGCAAGTAGTTGGACCTGTGGGCTCAGGATCATGGTTGCAGGGGACATCAAGCTCAATTGGCATAACATATGCATACTACACAAGAACATTGTTCAACATGCTATTTTGGAGAGTAGTGACTGGGATCTTAAAAGCGTACAAGTGGCTATCTAGATGCAACAATGGGTCTTGCCTTGTCCAGCACAAATAATGAAGAAAACCAAAGACACATGGAAACAATTAGTCCAAGGGTCTGGTATACCATGCAATCTTTAGCCTAGACAACTATGAGACCACAAGAACTAGATGGAGCCTAGCTACCACTGTCAACCACTAGGAAGGGGATCTGTGTAGGAGATTCTGGCTAGAGAGGGAGAACAATGTGGAACAAAACTCAAAATCATTAAAAAAAAAAAGGGACCAGGTTTGCTGGTCTGATAGAGCCTGGTGGAACCCCTGAGACTATGGCTCCCAGCTACCCTTCAGGTCTGGAATTGAACCCATTCCTGTGGCGTCCAACCAAACAAAACCAGGTGTATGAGCTGAACATTTACATTAAGTAGATACAGTCCTTGGAGAGATCAATCATGGGAGAATAGAAGGGCTGTGTATACCCATGAGGACAGCTTGCAGGGCAAGAGTGCATGGGAAGGAAGGACACAAGAGAAGAGGTGGCTATGGGGAAGTGGGAGGAGAGTTGTTGCACTGTGGGAGATTACAATGTCATAAGACAAAGTGTATGTGAACTGCCGTATGGAAGATGAATTTGCTCTGTAAACTTTCACCCAAATCACAATTAAAAAAAAAAAAAAAAAGGATTTACAGCTTTGGAAACCTACTGAGATAGTTTCTTTTCTTTTTTTGTTTTGTTTTGTTGACACATACCTGTATAATTTTTATGCAGTCAGTGCACATGGGGATAGCATGAGTTGGAATTGACTCTATGGCAACTGACAACAAACATTTTATGCAGACCTTAGTACATTTCACCCATGAACACCTTCTTTTTCTTTTTCCTGAGCTGGGGCCGACTCGATGGCAAATAACAACAACAACAACCCTATAGTTAGTGGTTTACTCTCCCTTCCCTACCCATCCTTGGTAATCATCAAAGAATGTATCTTTCTTCATGGAACCATTGCTTGACTTTTCCTAATAATGGTTTCATACAATATTTGCTCTTCTGTGACTAATTTAACTCAGCATAATATCCCCAATAGGGCAGTTCTACTTTGTCCTATAGGGTCATTAAGTGTTGGAATTGACTCGATGGCAATGGATTTGGCTTTGGTTTTAGAGGCTGGGAAACTAAAGTTGGTTCTATGGATTGGTACTCATGTAACACCCAGGCCTCTGAATTGGGAGTTTGGAGTAGGTTAGGCTTGTCATTTTTACCTCTCAATACCTCTGATTTTTTTTTTTTTTTTTAAAGTTTCTTTCTCAGAATCCTAAAAGCACTTAACTGTATATTATCATATAGCACAATTAGATAATGAGCATCTGTAAAGCAAAGACTTTGTCTTTTATTTCTTTTGTATTCTCTGCAGTATTCATCAAAGACGTTAGGATTATAGGCTCTGGAGTCAGACTGACTAGGCCCAAATTCTGGCTCCATCACTCACTAGCTGTGTAACCTTAGACAACTTTTTTAAAGTTCTCCAATCACAGCTTCCTCATTTACAAAACGAGGATAGTTAACAGTACTTAATTTGGCTGTTGTAAGGATTAAGTTATTGAAAGTGCTCAGCAATCATACTGTACACAAACACATAAGACATGACCTCAAGGAAAAAGGGACAATGTAAATAATAAATTATAATATAATGTGACAAAAATTAAAAAGGATGAAACACTGATGCAAACATGATATTATGAAAGCAAGGAATAAGGGTGATTATTTCTGCTGGGAATGACAAAGGGTAGAAGAGGAAAATCAGGAAAGGCTTTACATAGGTGACAACAA